TTTTTACATTGTCTTTTATTACTTTTGCAAAAATAAATATGAATGGGAAATATTTTCATCTAATTTTAATATATTTTACTAAATTTCAAATTTTAAATTCAATCGGTAAGATTTGAAACATTACGCATGCGCAAAAATACAAGATGACTCACACAGTAGTATGGGAATTGAACTTTCCTGCCTATTAGCTGATTACATTGAAAATAATTAAAACATAAAAATTGTGGGGAATAAAAGAGGGGAAAAGTGACAATCAAATAGAAAAACAGGTCAGGACAAGATTTGACCTTAATTATTGCTCCAATTTATTTGAATGAATTAATTGAGAGCATCGTTTCGAAAATGCAAAAACGTTTTTAATTTTTAGAGATTAATTTTTTTTTTTTTTATAAATTCGTGCTATTTTATTAAATTCTTTATAAAATGAAATAAATATGTTTCAGTCTAATTAAACTTTAAAAAATGAATTAACAAATTTGATTTTCAGACATTTTTTTAATCCCTCATTAATATGGTTAAGATGAAATTATTTTTAGTGTATATTTGATTGGAATAACGGTTGACCTAAAAAGATTTTTTTTTAAACAAATTACTTTCTATACAATGAAAATGTTCAAATAAAATCATATATTTAATCATATAACCATCAAAAAAAAAAAAAACATAAAAGTATAAAATTTTCGAAAAAAATTTTCAAATTTGAACTTTTAATTTTTAACACTTAAATTTAAGCTCCTATCACAATTAGAAATTTAAGAAGTTATAAAAGCAGCAAAGTATTTGACATTTTATGTATATTGTTTACCTTCATGTATATAGCTTCCGTACAATGCATATGACAACAAATATTAGATATTAGTGTCTCTTTCGAGGTCAACTATCTCGAAAGTGTTAATTGATAATTAACTCATAAAAGACATTTTTACTAAATAATATAGAAGGTATAAAAGTAATTTTTGATGATAAATGACTAGAAACCATTTAAAAAATAATTAAACTTTTTTCAGAATCAAATTTTCGTCATTATATTATTAAATAATTGCAGCAATTTGAATGTAATATTTTAGCTAAAAGATTTTATTTTCTATTGTTTAGTAAAAAATTTACAGAATTTAGTCGGTTAAAATTTGAATTTACTTCCAAAGTTTGAATTTCATAACCATTTCGAATTTCATTTTATGTTTATTTTGTGTTTAATTTTGACAAAACTTTTATGCGACACCAATTAAAACCATTGTTCGTATTATGTGCAGATGAATAAAATTGCAAAATTCAATTCTCAAAATTTATTGCGGCCTTTTCTTTTTTTTTTTTGTTGTTTTATTGCAAGTGAAAGTCATCAAGAATTGTTGAGCTTTTAGAAATTTTGGCTAAACAAACAAAACAATATAGTAGCATTCATCTTTAAATCCTCACAAAACAAATGAAAAATTCATTCATGCCTGATATTGAGAATAAAACTTTTCATTTGATACTACAATAAAATCAAGAATTAAATATTTCCTCGAAATTTGCATAAATTTTGACAAAAGTTTTTACAATCAATTTTAATTTCAATTAACAGAAGAAAAAGCTTACGTAAATGAAGCGAATGGAAAATAAATATATGGCGCAAATGGTTACATAATACAAACTGCGCTTATAGATATTATCACTTTTTACAATGATTCATTTCCGAATTTCAGATTATAAACTGCAAACATTTTTTTCGATATTTCTAATTTTCTAAAGTTATAAGAAATTTTTTCACGAACGAATCAATAAGTCAAAAGTCTTACGCAAATTTATATTTTGAATTTGAGATATAACTTGGCTATGATTGGTATGACGTTAGGATTGAATTATCTTTTTAACTAACTGAAATTAAAGTATCACTCGTTCTAATGATAGTTTAAGGCTTTCTGAACAATTCAAGGCTTTTCAAATGATTTATGCCTTTGATCTTTTATGATAAAAACAAAAAGAAGCTATGAAAAAGTGATAAATTGATTAATTTATCAATCTTTAACCAATATATCCTTCCCTTGTTAGCATATTGTTACGAATTCTTTTAGTAATTCGAAATTCTATCGGTCATTCTTTCTTTTTTTTTTATTTTTAATTAACTAACCGTTAAAATTCATTTGTTTACAATACATTCACCATATGTTCCCCCTTTTTGTGGCCCATTCAATGGTATATTTTAATCATCTTCCGTAATTAGTTAACAACAGTAAATGAAAAAATGATATGGTCATTCTTTTCAGGAAATTTCAATTTCAGGAATTTTGGAAAATTAAATTGAGAAATTATGCAAATGATTGCTATTTTCAAATTTTTTAATTTTTCTTTTTCACCTAAATTTGCGATATATGTATCGAAGCTTCTTTCCCTTTTATAATTCAAAAATGAATTTACCATACTTACGATTAGCCAAAATGCATTTCAAATTTTCATGCTAATTTAATTTTCTTGTAAAATAAAAGTTTTACATAAATGATTGCTATATTGAAAGAGTTAATAATTCTGAGAAATTCCTCATAAAAGAAATTCCCAATAAATGCTGAATTTTCAATGGAACATTTCTTTTCAAAAAGACTTAATTAGCATTTCTTATAAAATAAATTAACTTTACAAATAGTAAATTATATAGTTTAAATTTAAAAAAAATGAAATAAATATATCTTTTGCATTTTTCGCATTTATTCCAATATAATTAATTCATTTTCTAAATTCGTTCATATTTGTTTATTTGTTGAAAGTTTTAAAAATTTAGAAATATCTTTAATCGTTTGCAAATTAACCTTTCCAGAAATTGCCTCATCCTAAAAGTTTGTTTTTTTTTCTTTTCTTTTATAAATTGTTCGTATACACTAAAAGATTATGATGGTATTAAAATTTGTTAAAATTTTTACTTTTACTAAAAAGTTTAATGAGTAAAAGATGTTAGAAATGAATTCAATAATCATTGAAACGTAGAAAATTTCTAAGTTTTGCAAGAAAGAAAAAATGCTTGCAATTTGTATTGAATGTATTATTTAGAAATTGAAATTAAATTTCACCTGCATTTCCACCTGTTATTAATAGTGTTGTTGTTAATGAGTTAATTAAATTGACCAAATAATTTATTCAATTATTATTCATAGGTTTTTACGATTTTTATGACAGAAAAAACAGATCATTCGTTTGATTGTACGACGAAAATTCTTATTCAAGCATGTATAAATGATTGGATTAAAACATGAATGTGCATAACCAAGCCAAGATGACAGCATGAATAGGTTGACATGAAGATGTTTGTCCACTTGAATATTGAGACCAGTACAAATCCCACGATACACTGTTATGCAAAAATATGGAATCCAACAAATCAAAAATGCAACTGAAATGATGGAAAGATACTGTCAGGTAATAGAAATAGTAAAAGTTAAACTTACCTGAATAATTAGACATAATGAGAAATGGAAAAAGAATTAGTACTATTAATAAAAGAAATCATATAAAAAGGATGACAAATGTCATAGCTGTCATCCAATCTTTCGTTCTCTTACCTCTGAAATTATTTTGTTATAAATTTGAAATGACAAGAACTTACTAAGTATAGCAGCAACAACACCTGTAGCTCGAGTTTCTCGTCTTATTGCCAACGATTCGCGACGCTTTCGACGGATTGCTCGTGTTACCTGTAAATATCATTTTTATAAAAGATTTAGCTCAAAGTTACATTAAATTAATTAGCTCATTAAATAGATTTTTTAAATGTTACATACGTAAAGCATACAAAATCTTCTAAATTAAGGAATTAAAATTGTTCGTAAAACTTTTCATGATTCACCTGAAGAGCGATTTTTCTCAATCTTCCTCGAGATGTTGTTGCTCGTCGAGGTTGTTCCTCTGATCTGGTAATATTATCAGTAACTGGATTTTTAGCAGCAGCTAATGAATTAGAACCATGCGTATACACGACAGCACGTAACGATGGCCACATACCACTTACATTCCTAGAATAAAAAATCATAAATTTAGAAACTATTTTTTAACTTTTTTTTTTTTTTTTGGGAGAAATCAGCTTAACTGACTAGAAACTTGAAAAAAAGAATTAGCTCTAACCTAGAGTTCGGTGTTTCAGCCATACTATCAGTACCATCCTCCGTCATACTGGTATCAAAACTATTCATTGAAATCCTTCTGAAACCTCTGCTCTAAAATATCTACGGAGAAGTGTACTTTGAACATTTGCTACTTTCATAGATTCGAGACGATTTTTTCCATACTTCTACCTGATTACAAGAGATTCTAGGTAACTAACTGAATCAGAATCTTCCTGATTCAACCAGCTGTCGTCACATAAACTTGAGCACGAATAAAAAAAAAAAACTTATCCTAAACAATGTTAATATATAGTCAATTTTACAAAAGCTAAAAATATTCGTCATTTAAAGCTTTACAAATTCCTATCAGATCGAAAGATAACCTAGAAATGTCGCCACTGTCACTTGTTGAAGCGCAAGAACTGCGACTTGAATTCGAACGTACTGTTGAAATAGGACTTGTGCAACAACCCCATTTCGGCACCTTTAATAGAATTTCATTCATTTATTAAATGTTATTAAAATTTCTTCATTTTCCACCATGTAATACCTGAATATTCAATCAACTTTTTGTTTGAATTATATTTTCAGTTTAAGGACTAACTTTGAGGGAAACGACAGTTGACGCTGACAGCGTAGGCGTGGGAGGAAAATTGCTAACAGATTTTGGTAAAGCTAATAACATTGAGGATTCCAGAGCAGGTAATGATTCCTTCGAATTACTTGTTTCATCGAGCGTTTTTGAATCACTGAAATTACAAATATTTGTAATCAATCATCTTTATGGTCGAACATATCCATAGAATATTCTGATAAACGAACATTTTACAACTTCTTGGTGATATAAAATGCTTATCATAGAATTATTAACCAATTTTATGCTTACATTTAAAATTAAAACACTCACTTAAAAGAAACACTCACAACAGGTAACTTCATCGAATCATTCTCAGTTATTCCAATTACAGATGTCTTCAGAAGGCTTTCATCATATCTAATATTGGAATCTTCGGGAGGATTCTTATCGGTAAAAGAGGTTATATGATCCAATAGTAAACAATGATTATCTAAAATGATACCTTCACTGGCGGATATTTTTCAATAATTGCATAGTTACTCGTTAATTTATCCGAGTAGACGTAACTTGGAGAATGATTTTTGACCTCAACTACTTAACCTTTAGATAGAATTATCATATTTCCATCTGATAAAAATGTTTGTTTAAAGTAATAAAATGAATAACTGCATGGGAAGTTTTCTAAACTATTATAAAATGCTATCATTGATAATTGTTAAACACATTACCAATAGATTGATAATTTGTAGTTATTGCTGATAATTCCATACTTGGTGGATCTAACGTAATACTCATTCGTTTTTTTGATGATATCAAACGATCTTCTTTCAATGTTTCACCAACTGTAGCTGGTGAAGAACATCTGAATGAATGAAATTTTGACATCAATTTTTTTAAAAAAAAAAAAAGTACATCCTTGAGAGACTTTAAAATATGCCTAATCAAATTTCAAAATTGTAATTTTAAAATAACACATTTCAATTAGGATTTGTTATTTAGTGAAATTTGTTATTTGGAAATTTGTCAAAATTTAGCAAAAAATTTGTTATTTGGAATTTGTTTAGTGAAATTTGTCATTTTAGTGAAAAAAGAAGAAAAATTAAATTTCAATTTACCAAATATTTTGAAATTATCATGAAAACATAACATCAAACTGAATGTTTGTGTCATAGTGAATTTAGAATTTTGTAAATATTTACATTACAATCTCTAATGAGATATATGAGATTTTTTTTTTTTCTACCTTCGTTGTGTAGCATTCTGTTTATTTGATGATTTTTCAAATTTTGTCTCTAAAGTACCATTCCAAATACAATCATTGCCAGTATTACTTATTTGTTTGACTCTTGTACCATGTTGACTAATAACCTTAAAATTTAATTTTTTATAATATAACTTTTTATCAAAGGATTTTTTTGAAATATCATAATAATTTGGATCTTCGTCATTCGATAAAATTTCAAACACTAAATTTTATTCATTGAAAAAATTAACAAAATAAAAAAAAAATTTGCATTATTCGATTTTTTTTTCTTTTTTTTTTTTGTTTACTATAACGAAAAATTTAATAATACACCTCTTCAACAGTAACACTTGGTAAACATTTTGTTTGATTATTTTTTCGCCCAGAAGGATTATTTTGCTGTCGTTTTAATAAATCTAATTGGCCAAATATATATAAACGATGACTGCGTAATTTTCGAAATATTTTTACATATAAATAAACGACAATAGCGCCAGGAATGAAAAATGATAGTAATGATGATAAGACCTGAAAAGATATTTTGTGAAATGTTTGAAATAAGGAAAAATTGCAAACTAATGGGCGGGTGTAACAGTGTAAGTTATTCTCTCCTATATGTATTATCATATTATCAATAATGGATTAATTAATTAATTAATTATTTCAACAATTTGAGATGGAAAAATTTTTTCACAAACAATTTGATTGATAATTATAAATGTCAATAAAAATGTTACCAAATATTGTGGATTTTTAATCCAACAAAAACCATCTTCATCCAATGATTTCTCCATGAAAAGTGTGCTACTAACAGCAAATGATACAAGCCATATCATGATAATGTATGTAAAAATACTGGTAGCTAATGAATGTCGTTGATATTCTGTCGGAAACATTATTGCAAAATACCTGTACTGATAAAAATACCTGTCACTGATAAAAATACCTGTCACTGATAAAAATACCTGTCACTGATAAAAATACTTGTCACTGATAAACTTTAATGAAAACAGTATCATCTTCCTTGCAATTTTGAACTTCTTTTCAAAGAGAGAGAAAGAGTGGAAAATTATGAATTATTAGAATGTTTGTGAGATTTCTAAGGGAGTATAAATATAATATTATCTATTGATAGATGCTAAATTTAAAAAATATCAAAAGTCACCTATCTAAGCTTATAGCAGTAAGATGAACAATGCTAGCAGTTGTTGAAAAAACTCCGGTAACTAAATGAAATTGACACCATCGATCACCTAAATCCCAACGGATTTCATTAACCTGAAAGAATAAGGTAAAACAAGGACTTAAAAATAACTAAATTTGAAGTAGTAATATTTAATTACTAAATTTAAATAACTGTATCTTAAAAACTTCCTGAAAATTATGCATCAGAAATTTACAAAATTTATTATTTTATTTGAAAAAAGAAAAAAATAGAAAATATTAAGATATTTTATAATTTAATTTCATTTCTGAATTTCCTCTTCTCTTCTCTCTCGCCTATTTTTACATTTATCAGATAATTTTCTTCGAATTATAATCATACCGTAGCATAAAGTGATAATGGCATAACAACAATTCCAACAAGAAGATCAGAAATAGCCAAACTTGCAATAAATTTATTTGTTGCCAATCGTCTCAATTCACGATCAATGAGTACAGCAAGAAGGACAACAAAATTACCAAATACGATCATCATAATAAGTAGTACCAATATCAGGAATCCGGAATGCCACACAAGCATTACCACTAATTACCGTTAATAATAATGGTTACAAATTGTAGAATTATAGAAATTTCCGTAAATTATAGAAAATAATAAAATATCTAAATGAATAAATGTAATTGATAAGTGATAAGATACGATCAATAATAATGAATAAACTTTCATATATATCATAAAAATTATCATTATGCAAATGTTGACTAATAGATAAATATCTTTAAATTGAAGATATGATGTCCTCGTTTTAGGACAATCTTTTTGAGATAATAAGGATGAGGAATTTGAAAAAGTCTTATTATCAAAAATATTTTTCATATTTCGAAAACAAATTCGGCGGAGTACTTTCATTTGTTTCAACATGTGATAAATTTCATAAAATACCCTTGTGGTTACGACGAATAAACTTGGCACTTGACGATACCACCATCTAGGAGACATCTAAACTTTTCCTTATCGATTATGAATTAAGGGTTTTAAATTGAAGAAGAGAAAAATGGAAGTTAAAAGAAATAAATTTAACCTTAATTCTATCAGCCTTATCAAACATACCACCATTTAGGAGACATCTAAACTTTTCCTTATCGATTATGAATTAAGGGTTTTAAATTGAAGAAGAGAAAAATGAAAATTAAAAGAAATAAATAGTTTAAAAGAAAAGCAATCATAAATTTAACCTTAATTCTATCAACTTTATCAAACAATTCATTATTATCATTTGTAATTAAATTACTCTTTATTCCAAATTCCTTTCCACGTCTTCTTCTCTTCATATCATTCAAATATAAGGTCAAATCAATTTTTAAATTAACGAGCATATTGAAATTTTATTCAAATATGTTGAAAAGTTTTACTAAATTGTTATAAAATGCCAAGGAAAATGTGACAATTTGAAAAATAAAATGATACAAATTTAATAAAGAAAGACGAATTTATTGCGAATAGAAATGCGCATTTACGAAATCATAAATTATTCATGTTATAAAATAGTAAACATAACGAAAGAATGAGCAATAAAATTAAACTATCTAAAAAGAAATGTTCTATTAATGAATGAATTTTTAATAAATAATCTAAAATAAAATTATAAAATTCTTTTTTCGATCAATTTTAATTAATAAATATAATTTCGAATAATCGAAATGAAATTAATAAATTTTCATTTTCATTGCCTTGCTTTCTCTTTTTTCTTTTCTTTTTTTCCTTTTTTTTTTGCACCTGCTAAAGACATTCCAACTCATAAAATAAACGTTAAATTGAAGATATACGTAGAAGATGGTTGACAAATAATTTGAAGTACTTGAAGATATGAATGATGATGAATCAATATGAGGAGTAAACTAAAATAAATTGCTTTTTTTTTTTTTTTTTCAGAAAATTGTGGAAGATTTATGGATTTTATTTTAACCTTTTGAAATATCATTTAATAAATTAAACTCAATTGTTTGCCAAAAAATTGAGAGAGAAAATTAATTAAATAATGCAAGAGAAAAGATTTCTTCTAAGAAATATAAAAAAAAAAATTTTAAATTTAAAATTTGTTCGATCAAAAATCCATCGATCGATTAACAATGTATTTTCTCAACAATTTACACGTAAATTACTTTGATAAAATTTATTTTTTATATTATCAATTAGCAATAATACTATTTAAATTCATACTTTTATATTACCTTTTTTTTTTTTTTTTTTTAATTTTATGTGTTTCGTTTAATTTTTTTGCTAAATAAATTGCTTTCAAAAAAAAAAATGAAAATTTCTTGCAAATATTTTTCTTTTATGTGACAATTTAAAAGGGCTTAATTTTTTTTTTATCTTTCGTTTAATTATAAGGCGATAAAATGAAATATAATATGATAGGAAAGCTTAGCTAATAAATGATGAATATTTGAGAAAAGGAAAATTTTTATTTTAAAACAAAATGATAGTACTTTAAAAGTTTGTAAAAATTTTAAAATTTTTTTTAGAAAATTTTAGAAAAATTTTTTTTCTAAAAATCGACCAAGAATTTGCATTTTTTTTTTTTTTTAAATTTATTTAAAACGTATATTTTTCTCCTCTGAAATGTATGATTACAGTGTGGGGAAAAAAAAGAAGAAATCATACACGAGTATTACTATCGAAGTATTACTATTAGTATTACTATTCAAAGATGTATTACTATTCAAAGATGGATTAAATCAATATTCAAAGATGGTAATGTTTGTGTATGATTGAAATCAGTTCGATAATTAGCTAAACGAAAAAATAAAAAAGTTAAGGAAAGGTATAATAAACAATCTTACTTACATTTAATTATTATAGCAAATTTCATTAGCCAAATCAAATATTTCAAAATAATAGTAAAAGAAAAT